CCGGTCAACAACGGACGCGCTTAACAAAGTTGTCGGTCTGGCCACTTCCGCCATTCAAGGCACCAGATGGAGGCACGGGACGAAGGAATACTGCATCATTGCGACCCTGGATGTAAGGAATGCCTTCAACACAGCTAGTTGGGATATGATACTGAATGCGCTGTCACAATATAATATCCCTAAATATCTAAGAGAGATAATAAAGAGCTACTTCAGAGGAAGAACACTGGTATACAATACGAGTGAGGGTCCCCAAACTCATACAGTGTCAGCTGGAGTACCCCAAGGCTCAGTGCTGGGGCCTCTCCTATGGAACATCATGTACGACGGCGTACTGCGCTTGGAACTACCAGCAGGCGCGCACACCATTGGCTTTGCTGATGATGTAGCTGTCGTAGCCATAGGAAAGGAGCTCAAAGATACAGAGGATATGTGCAGCGAAAGTATCAATCGCATACGAAGCTGGTTGACAGGAGCTGGGCTCGAGCTTGCGGCACACAAGACCGAAGTTGTACTGGTCAGCAGTCGCAAAAGAGTGGAAACTGCCAATATAAAGTTCGGCAGCGTCACCATTGCGTCACAGAGGGCGATAAGATATCTTGGTGTCATGATAGACACAAGATTAACTTTCCGCGAGCACTTAGAATATGTGCATAAAAAGGCAGCTGATTCTTGTAGAGCTCTCTCGAGAATCATGCTTAACACGCGGGGACCTAAACAGCAACGACGTCTCCTCTTAATGAGCGTCATTAGGTCTGTCATCCTTTATGCTGCGCCAATATGGGCAAGAGCGATGGCAACGCCGAGCTACAGCCGAGGCATTTGCGCGATCTACAGGCTGAGCGCAATCAGAGTCAGCTGCGCTTTCAGGACTATCTCCGATGACGCGGCGCTCGTCATAGCCGGTATGGTGCCACTGGAGTATTTGGTCGCCGAAGCCGCGGAGCGGAATTCGCACGGGCCTACGCGACTCAACGCTGTCAGGGCGAACAGCATCGCACGATGGCAAAGAAGGTGGAATAGCTCAGCTAAAGGGCGGTGGACGCACAAGCTCATCCCGGAGCTTGAACCATGGGTTAACCGCAAACATGGCGAGGTTAACTTCTACCTTACGCAGATCCTCTCGGGTCATGGATGCTTTCGGAGCTATTTGAAGCGCTTTGGCTACGAGGAATCTGACGAGTGCCCCTGGTGCGAGCGAGGGCATGTGGAAGACGCCAACCACATTCTTTTCGAATGTGGACGGTTCCTGGAGGAGAGGCGTCATCTGGAAGAGGCAGTGGGACGCTCCATCAGAGCGGACAACTTAGTCAACGCCATGCTGGAATCGGAGGAAGCTTGGGAACTAACAAGCACCTTCGCGGCCACGGTGATGATGGAGCTCCGCAGAGTCGAGCGACTGAGAAGACGAGCTGTCCCAGGCTAAGGTAGCGCATAGTGCTTGCGAAGCAATGCTTTACGGCCGTCCCGCAAGCACCGCGCGCTATCCTAGCCACCACGCAACTTGCAATTTGTTAATTTTGTCAATAAATGAATATAAAAAAAAAAAAAAAAAAAAAAAAAAACACACACACACACACATACACACACACAAACACATACAGAAACAAGTAAGAAAACTCTAGTCGACAGTGCTCGACTAGATACTACCCTGAATTCAACTAATAAAAATGCCCATTTAGTATGGCTGAAATTTCAATTTCGATGTATTTAGATATATAAATGAAGTACAAAACTCATTTAATAAAATATAAAAATATTTTGAAACAATTGAAAAAATTAATATAACTCGCACCGCTCGGGACTCGAACCTCCGACTTCTCGATCGAGCGTCACGCAGCTACTCACTACGCCACCTCACTTACGCGAGCTACAGTGGCAAAACTGAAATAGATTTACTGCTGCAGCGCCATCTAGCAAAACTAAACCAAACTAGCTGCTGATGTGATTCTAAGAATCTGCTAGAATAACCAAACTATTAAAAACGCACATTTAGTATGGTTAAAATTTCAATTTCGGTGTATTTAAAAATATAAATTAAGTACAAAACTTATTTATGAAAATATAATAATATTTTGAAACAATTAAAAACAAGTAAGAACGTTGCAGTCGGGCGTTACCGACTGCGGAATACTCATTCACATCCCATCAACAATTTAGTAGTTAAGTTTCGCTCTAATACTATAGAATATACAGGTTTTTCCGATTTGCCACGCCCCTACTGGGCGTAGGCTCCTCATTTGTAGCGAGTTCTTAGAACGAGAAATCGGTAACCTAAATGCAAATTTTGAATTCTTACGCTCAAAAAATATGAAAATTACAGGGTATTTTTCGATATGCCACGCCCCTAAAGAGGCGTAAAAATTATTTTTTGAGGCATCGATAGAGGAGGCTACCAGCAACTCAACTATCTAAATTTAAAGCTAGTAGGTTTTATACTTTAGGAGATATAAACTTTTGCTGTTTGCCACGCCCCCTGTGGGCGGACATATATCCGACAAAACTTTTTGGTCTTGGGTGATTAACCCGAGTATATATACAAAATTTGAAGTCTCTGGCATCAATAGTGTCCAAAATATAGCAGAATATAAAAAATCACTATATCTTCAGGTCCGATTTGCCACGCCCCTAATGGGCCAGGCTTATAATTTTGTCTTCAGACTTTAAAGAATCATAGCATTAGCTGACGTGCAAAATTTCAGCATTCTAGGTTTACAACTTTAGGAGATACAGTTTTATCCGATTTGCCACGCCCCCAATGGGCAGAGATATATCCGCCATAGCTCGTGATCTTGGGTGGTCGATGCGGATCTATATTCCAAATTTCAGCTTTCTAGCTCTTTAACTAACATGTTTTCTGGTACATCGGAAAATGCATTTTCCGATTTGCCACGCCCCTAGTGGGTGAATCGGGAAAATTGATGCAACTGATGTTAATTTTTATACTCATTCACGAAAGTGAATCAGTATATTGGTTTTGTGCAATGTCCGTCTTGCTGTCCGTCCGTCTGTCCGTCTATCCGTCCGTCCGTCTGTCCGTATGAACGCAATCTATTTCGGCGCTATTGAAGCTAGAGACTTGAAATTTGGAACACATACTCGTGTATATCTCCTAAAGTTGTAAACCTAGAATGCTGAAATTTTACACGACAGCTATAGGTATGATTCTATAAAGTCTAAAAATTCTATAAGTCTACGCCCATTGAGGGCGTGGCAAATCGGACCTGAAGATATTGTGATTTTTTAAATTCTCCTATATTTTGGACACTATTGATGCCAGAGACCTCAAATTTTGTATATATACTCGGACTGATCACCCAAGACCAAAAAGTTTTGTCGGATATATGTCCGCCCACAGGGGGCGTGGCAAACCGCAAAAATGTATATCTCCTAAAGTATAATAGCTAGAAGCTTCAAATTTTGATAGTTGAGTTACTGGTAGCCTCCTCTATCGATTCCCTAAAAATAATGTTTACGCCTCTTTAGGGGCGTTGCATATCGAAAAATACCCTGTAATTTTCACATTTTTTGAGGGTAAGCATTCCAACTTTGCAGTTAGGGTGCCGTTATCTCGTTCTAAAAACTGACCAAAAATGAGGTGTCTACGCCCAGTAGGGGCGTGGCAAATCGGAAAAACCTGTATATTCTACTGTATTAGAGCGAAACTTAACTACTAAATTGTTGATGGGATGTGAATGAGTATTCCGCAGTCGGTAACGCCCGACTGCGACGTTCTTGCTTGTTTTTGATTAATTTTTGACTGAACGGAACTTAATGAAACTTTCAGCATATGATCTACATATTATATTGAATATTTGAGAAATTTAAAAAAATGAAAAGTCATTCACAATTAGCTAAAGTGGCATCTGACTTGAACTTGAATGTTTTTACTCAATAAAAACATAACGGGATGATTTATCGAATTTTAAAAGCAAACTCGACGTCCGCGCTGTATATACGGTCATTTAAAAAAAAATTCAAGTCTCTAGCTCTTATATCTTCGGAAATCGACGCGTTCAAATATACGGACAGACGGACAGACAGACAGACGGACAAGGCCAAATCGACTCAGCTCGTCGCCCTGATCAAGAATATATATACTTTGTGGGGTCTGCCACGCCTCCTTCTGCCTGTTACATACATTTCAACAAAACCATTATACCCTGATTTCCCATTGAAAATGGGTTCAGGGTATAACAAATACACACACAATAACCCACGCATAAGAACGCATGGGCTGCAATGAGCGCTTACTATGAGAACTTAATTGTTTAATAATTTTTGTGGACGTACGATCTTCATGAAACTTTCAGATTATGATAACAACATGGATATGCAAGTATTTGTCAAAGCACAAGTCTCTAGTATTTGAAATACGCTTTTTACAGAAGTGATGGTGAGGGAGTAAATTTAGGGGTGGGGGTAAATTTTAACAAAAACCGAAATTGTATAAATTGCATATAAGCATACATAAAAAATTTAGAGACTAGCAATAAAGGTGTAGGAGATATAATTTTATAACTGGTTTTTGATAAGGTTTTTTATCGATAAAAAAAGATCGGGATGAGTTATCGATTTTTAATGATAAACTCGATATCCGCGCTGTAATTACGGACATTTAAAAAAAAAATTGAAGTCTCTAGCTCTTATATCTTCTGAAATCGACGCGTTCATACATACGGACAGACGGACGGACAGACAGACGGACAGGGCCAAATCGACTCAGCTCGTCACCCTGATTACGCCTCCTTCTGCCTGTTACATACATTTCAACAAAACCATTATACCCTGATTTCCCATTGAAAATGGGTTCAGGGTATAAAAATAAAGCACTAAATTTGGTCCAAATATTTATGCCGTCGACTGTTTAAGATTATATGCAAACTATACGTAAACAACTATAAGAAGCTGTCTAGCTTTTTGATTCGGCTTATGAAAACCGTTCAATATTATAGAAACCATGAATTTGTACTGAAGCCGGTTGTACATTGTTTACTCACCCACAATATTTAGATATACCGAGTGACCGATTGGTGGGGTCGTAGATATCTGACACTCGTATATTCCTGAATCTTTGCGCTGAGCATAACGTATACGGAGTGTCCAGTCTTCGGCATGTGGTGAATGCATCGCTTCGAACCGCTGATCGGAAGTGTATGTATAGCGGCCCACGGTTAGAAGATGAATATCACGATGTCTGACCCAGGATACCTAAAATTTGAAAATACTAGAATTTATAGTTTAATTTTCTATGTAGCTCCCATTTTTGGGAAATTACAGAATAATAAAAACAAGTAAGAAAGCTCTAGTCGAGACTGCGACTACGAGATCCCCTGAACCCTTGGAGTAATAGCTATTTCAATAATTTTTCGCGTCTTTCAGATTACACAAGAAACACGCACACACACACACTCACACACTACTGCAACTGAGTAGGAAGCCGGAGCATAGCGCTGAGGCTCTGCACGAAGCTGTAGGCAAGGCCTTGGGAGACCGAGCGGTAGTTAAAACACTTACCGAATCGGCCCAAGTTGAGATTCGCGATCTAGATGAGTTAGCGACCAAAGAGGAGATCTTGGAGGCAATTAGGGTGGAGTTGAAGGATAGCTCACTCCCCATTGAGGCTATCAAATCGCTTCGGCCAACTTTTGGTGGACAGCAAAGAGCTACGGTTGCTCTACCAATTGGGAAAGCTAAAACTCTGCTCGAGCTGTCCAAAATTAGAATAGGATGGGTAGTTTGCCGTATACGAGCCGTGGAGCAGCCTAAACGCTGTTTCAAGTGCCTCGATTACGGTCATATGGCAGCTAACTGCGGCAGCGACTGTGACTTAAAGGGCGCCTAGTTCAGGTGTGGAGAGATGGGTCACAGTGCCAAAGCATGCACCAAGCCACCAAAATGTAGCCTCTGCATCCGGAAAGGTGAAAAGCAGACGGACCATTCAGCAGGCAGCTTCAAGTGCCCATCTTACCGTGAAGCTGCTCGTAAAATGAAATGTTAAGGTTTTTGCAGCTTAACTTAAATCATTGTGTTGCTGCCCAAGATCTTCTAGAGCAGACCATTAGGGAAAAATGTATAGATGTAGCTTTTCTCAGTGAGCCTCACCACTGTAGAGCCAGCTGCCCTAGGACATGGTCAACAGACGTTAATGGCAAAGCTGCGTTGTGGGTATGCGGCAACTCAACGAACGTACTTTCGAATGTTAAGTCATTCAATGGGCTCGTACGTGGCCGATATGGTAGCTTGTGGCTTTACAGTTGCTATCTGGCCCCCAGCATGCAGCTCAGTGAATTCACGACGGTGCTCGACGAGCTTGCCGAGGATGCTAGGGGTCGGAAGGCCATTATAGCTGGAGATTTTAACTCCTGGGCGCTAGAATGGGGTAGCCCAACAACAAATGCCAGAGGTCGTATCCTACTGGAGATCTTCGCGACACTAGATGTTGCACTGCTCAACACTGGCCATGAGTACACCTTCAGTCGGGCGGGATACGGGTCTGTTATCGACATTACTTTTGTCGCTTCATCCCTCTTTCGGGGAGCAACATGGAGCCATTGCGATAGCTATACAGGCAGCGATCATACGGCACTTCTGTTCACAATAGGTGAGCCACCTGCCAGGGCGTCAACATTGTGGAGGGAGTCGTATCGGCTAGATACTTTTGATCCCGCGGTCTTTTCAGAGGCCATTCAGTCTCTGGGTACAATTGGTAATGCTGAGGCCAGAGCATGCCAAATGGTAGCCCAAATACAGAGTGCCTGCAATAGCAGCATGTTACGCCGCAAGCAGTTCACGCGACAACATGAGCCTACGTATTGGTGGAATACGCAAATAGGTGACATTCGTAGCAAATGCATCCAGGCGAGAAGAAGGTACCAACGGGCTCGCGGTAGGCCAACGTTTCTTGAGAAACAGTTAGCTTACCAGGCAGCTAGAAGACAGCTGAAGAAGGCCATTCGGGCAAGCAAAAGAGAATGTTTTTTACAGTTGTGCGACTCAGCCGAATATGACCCTTGGGGCAGGGCATATAAGATAGTAGTTAAAAGACTATACGCAGGTGCAGCCTACGGATCGTCTGGAGCTTAAATCGGTTGTGGAAACACTCTTTCCAGAAAGTTTAAGCTCCATTCACGCCCCTGAGTCCGAGTCTGCTGATCAGGGCTCAACGAGCACTGAAATTGCTGAAATTGTTTTAGTTACAGAGGAAGAAATATCAGTAGTTCTCCGAGGTCTTAGAACCAACACAGCTCCGGGGCCGGACGGGATCCCAAATCGTGCGCTAAAGCTAGCCCTCGCCTTGCACCCAAGTACGTTCGCCGAATTATTTAACGAATGCCTGATCCAAGAGACGTTCCCGGCAAAATGGAAAGCCCAGAATCTGGTATTGCTACCCAAGGCTGGCAAACCGCCAGATGAGCCATCTTCGTACAGACCGATCTGTCTCTTAGACACCATGGGAAAGGTGTTTGAGAAACTGATCTGCTCTAGGCTGGAGACTGCGATTGCAAGCGCCGGAGGCCTGTCACCAAACCAATTTGGATTCCGGAAGGCCCGGTCAACAACGGACGCGCTTAACAAAGTTGTTGGTCTGGCCACTTCCGCCATTCAAGGCACCAGATGGAGGCACGGGACGAAGGAATACTGTATCATCGCGACCCTGGATGTAAGGAATGCCTTCAACACAGCTAGTTGGGATATGATACTGAATGCGCTGTCACAATATAATATCCCTAAATATCTAAGAGAGATAATAAAGAGCTACTTCAGAGGAAGAACACTGGTATACAACACGAGTGAGGGTCCCCAAACTCATACAGTGTCAGCTGGAGTACCCCAAGGCTCAGTGCTGGGGCCTCTCCTATGGAACATCATGTACGACGGCGTACTGCGCTTGGAACTACCAGTAGGCGCGCACACCATTGGCTTTGCTGATGATGTAGCTGTCGTAGCCATAGGAAAGGAGCTCAAAGATACAGAGGATATGTGCAGCGAAAGTATCAATCGCATACGAAGCTGGTTGACAGGAGCTGGGCTCGAGCTTGCGGCACACAAGACCGAAGTTGTACTAGTCAGCAGTCGCAAAAGAGTGGAAACTGCCAATATAAAGATCGGCAGCGTCACCATTGCGTCAAAGAGGGCGATAAGATATCTTGGTGTCATGATAGACACAAGATTAACTTTCCGCGAGCACTTAGAATATGTGCATAAAAAGGCAGCTGATTCTTGTAGAGCTCTCTCGAGAATCATGCTTAACACGCGGGGACCTAAACAGCAACGACGTCTCCTCCTAATGAGCGTCATTAGGTCTGTCATCCTCTATGCTGCGCCAATATGGGCAAGAGCGATGGCAACGCCGAGCTACAGCCGAGGCATTTGCGCGATCTACAGACTGAGCGCAATCAGAGTCAGCTGCGCTTTCAGGACTATCTCCGATGACGCGGCGCTCGTCATAGCCGGTATGGTGCCACTGGAGTATTTGGTCGCCGAAGCCGTGGAGCGGAATTCGCACGGGCCTACGCGACTCAACGCTGTCAGGGCGAACAGCATCGCACGATGGCAAAGAAGGTGGAGTAGCTCAGCTAAAGGGCGGTGGACGCACAAGCTCATCCCGGAGCTTGAACCATGGGTTAACCGCAAACATGGCGAGGTTAACTTCTACCTTACGCAGATCCTCTCGGGTCATGGATGCTTTCGGAGCTATTTGAAGCGCTTTGGCCACGAGGAATCTGACGAGTGCCCCTGGTGCGAGCGAGGGCATGTGGAAGACGCCAACCACATTCTTTTCGAATGTGGACGGTTCCTGGAGGAGAGGCGTCGTCTGGAAGAGGCAGTGGGCCGCTCCATCAGAGCGGACAACTTAGTCAACGCCATGCTGGAATCGGAGGAAGCTTGGGAACTAACAAGCACCTTCGCGGCCACGGTGATGATGGAGCTCCGCAGAGTCGAGCGATCGAGAAGACGAGCTGTCCCAGGCTAAGGTAGCGCATAGTGCTTGCGAAGCAATGCTTTACGGCCGTCCCGCAAGCACCGCGCGCTATCCTAGCCACCACGCAACTTGCAATTTGTTATAATTTTGTCAATAAATGAATATAAAAAAAAAAAAAAACACTCACGCACGCACGCACATACAGGCATACATACACACACACACATACACAAACATTTATACACATATACCCAAACACATTCACACACATGCCTAAACACGCATGGGCGCAGTGTGCGCTTACTATGAGAACTTAATTGATTAATAACTTTTTTTGTGGACATACGATCTTCATGAAACTTTTAGATTATGGATATAAATGTAGTTGCTAAAGCACAAGTCTCTAGTATTTGAAATACGCCTTTTACAAAAGTGAGGGTGAGGGGGTGAATTTAGGGGTGGGGGTGAATTTTAACAAAAACCGAAATTGCATAAATTGCATATAAGCATACATAAAAAATTTAGAGACTAGCAATAAAGGTGTAAGAGATATAATTTTATAACTGGTTTTTCGTTAAGGTTTTTTATCGATAAAAAAAGATCGGGATGAGTTATCGATTTTTAATGATAAACTCGATATCCGCGCTGTAATTACGGACAATTAAAAAAAATTTTGAAGTCTCTAGCTCTTATATCTTCGGAAATCGATGCGTTCAAACATACTTACAGACGGACGGACGGACAGACGGACAGACGGACAGACAGACAGACGGACAGGGCCAAATCGACTCAGCTCGTCGCCCTGATCAAGAATATATATAGTTTGTGGGGTCTGCCACGCCTCCTTCTGCCTGTTACATACATTTCAACAAAACCATTATACCCTGATTTCCCATTGAAAATGGGTTCAGGGTATAATAAAAGAATATAACGGTATAATGGTTATTGGTTGAATAAATTCTCTTCCATCTTCACAAACTTTTAAAACTTTTGGGGCGTGGAAAATCGGAAAATGAATTTTCCGATATACCAGAGATCATATTAGTTGAAAAGCTAAGAGAGCTGAAATTTAAAATGTAGATCCGCGTCGACCACCCAAGATCAGCTTTTCCTTGATGGCACTTTCGTTTTGGAGCTTGTTCTGTTCCCAAACTATAAATCCCTTTTGCACAAAGCATACCATTAAAGGCAGCGATGGGTAAAAATTGTCATAATATATTACATGATGTTTGAAACTTTCAATGGTTTTCGTCAGGCGCACAATAGCACATATATCAGGGTAACC